CTGTTTTAGCAGTATGTATTGCTATAATTGCCAAGATGTAGGAGAAAATTGACAAAATGGCATGCTGAAGGAAAGGGAGAGAGGGATAGTATTAGAAGATACTGACTAGATTGCATTTGGGCAACTGTACGATGTTTTTATTGACCCCAATCTTCTCTTGAAATAACCCCCCATATTTTCAGCACCATCATTCTTCTGTTAATGTTATATAGCTGTGGATCGCAGAACACTCCAGTCTCCAAAGAAGTAAATATCTAGATTATTCAAAGATCATAGAAGGATCCATGATGGCTATGAATAGGCCATCACATATTACCTAGATAGAATTGCCTACCAGAAATAACATAAAGAATTTCCACAAGGAAATACATAGCTAGAAGAAGAAGTGGGCTAGCCATGTACCAAGAACAAAAGATAATTTATGAGCAGCTCTTGTGCCACGTTGATTGCCATATATATTGACTAACTAAAGAAAGATCCTCAAAAAGTCAAGTAAATGCCCTGGGGAGGATTTATGGGACAATATAGATGAAAAGAAATGAATGAGTTATCTTCTACACCATCAGAATGAGTACCCAGCAATGAAATCATAGATCCATCAACATATTAAAGGAACATATAAAAGGATACATAAAATAAATAAGATAATAATGATGATATTAAATTTCCTGAGTCCTCAAGTATTGTAAGAGAAATTCAAATGTCATATAATAAAAGAACTTCTTATAGTAAGACAGTTCATATAGTCAAAGGGTTTACCTGGCAAGATGCTAAAATGATTTTTCTAAAATTTGTTAAAAATAAGATAGACATGGGGCTCACCCTATATGTAGATGAAGTAGGTGGGGGTAGTACAGCCCTTGAAATTTTTACCATTGCAGTTACCCCCTTTGTTTTGTGTCATTGTTTCCAGAAAGTCCTTTGTTAAGATGCAATCATATACCTAAAAGGAGCATCACATAAAGCTCCATTAGCAGACAGGAAATGAGACACCAGATAAATAAGCTGTGACTAAAGAAGCAGGAAATGAGTGAGCCCTGGGCAATCAGAAGAGAGCTTGAGGGCAATGGGTGGTGCCTTAGACTGGGAGGTGACACCCAAAAAGTCAAGGCAAAAGAGTGATCAGGGAAGGGATGCCAAAGACAAACTTCAACTAGCTAGTTCTTTTATCTAGAGCTAGTCCTGAATTGATACGCACTTAGTTTCAGATGTCTTTCCACTGAAGTCAATGCTCTGATGCTATAATTAAATCTTCCAGGTCTCTTGTAGCCCTACCATTCTAGTATTCAGATATAAAAATAAACAGTCATTTCCCTTACAAGTATCAACAATTAAAATAGCAAAACAACAGGCAGAATATAAAGAGCATATTGATAGCACAAAGAATTTGCCCAGGGAAAATGTACCTGGCAACAAAAATAATGAAGGGTTATTACATGTCCAGTTGCATTACTAAATGGCAGTTGCCAATTATCAGCATTAGAAGGATTTTAGAGGGTCCGTTTTGAGAAAGTATTTGAAGAAAAAGAGATATTTGGAAAATGAGGGGGAAATATGAGATAAGTAGTATGCACCATATAGAGCATATTATTACCATTTAGATGCTAGTCCATAAGAGGGATGCATACACACACACACACACACACACACACACACACACACACACACAGAGAAAATACATATATATATGTATGTATGTATATATACACATATATATATGAATTATATTTAGATATATAGAAGATATATGTGTGTGTAAATATATCTTCCAGGTCTTGGCAGCATGACACATAGCTAATATTGTGTTTAGGAATAGTAATAGTTTGTATGTCTGTGAAAGAGAGGGAGGAAAGGAGGAAGAAGTAGAGGCAGAGACAGAGAGAAGAAAGAGAAGAGAGAATCTGAGAGAGAAAGAGAGAGGGAGAGAGAGATTGAGAGAGAGAAAGAGGAGGGGGTGGAACACATAGTTGGTCTGGATCATCTTACAAAACATATAAAAGGCTCCAAAATCTCAGTTGCTTTTTTACATCAATTTTTCAGTTACTTTTTTTAATCTTAAATTTTCATCTCTTATGACCAGCCCCTTTTAGTGATGAATGTGTCCTCTGAGGAATTATATACTTTGTGACACAAATTCTGCAAATATCCTTATATTTGCTTAATGAAATATCACAACCAACATACCAAATGTTATGTTTTGTACCCACAAGATTCTAGGAGAGTAACCCACTACTTTATCTTAGAATTTTTACTTTTGCTATTGCCTTTTTCATTTGAGGAAAAGTGAAACTTATGTGACTGTTTTAATTCAATGATGATTTCAACTAGATATGCCTTGTGACAAAGTTTACATTTGATTTTTGTCAGTCATCCCAGACTGCTTTCTTCCACTGTTGCCTTGAGAGCTCACATAGGAGAAGTACAAGGAGGTAATTACATACAAAGACTTTAACTGCTAAACCAGTGTTCAAACAAACCCATTAAATCGCATCAACAATAAAGACCAGTGAAACAAAGAGATTGTAGTGTTTCATTTCAACCTGACATTCTCAAGAGAGCAGAAAGCACAAGGCAAACCCAGAAGTACTTATCTATTCCCTGAGCTGTGTGGAGAAAGTTCACAGGAAGCAGTTAAAGACACAGTAACTATGCCCTGCATTCAGCTGATTTTCTTTGGAACTTCGCTGTTTTGTACTGTTACATAGTGTTTTTGAGAAAAGCTTAGTACTGTAGAATCCAGATGTAATGAAGATTAGTTATAAAATTAACTCTTCCTTCCACGGGTGATTTAAGAAGTGCCTAACTCAGAAAAGCATTCATTTATGAACATTCTGGTAAGGCTGGCAGTGTCCCAGAGGTATAGGAGCTGTTCACTGCCATGTAAGCAATGAGTCCCTGCTGGATCCTGGCCCACTCTAGGGACCATTAAGAGTAGGAAAGACTACAAGGAGATGCTTAAAATTGGTCTTAGGAAGTAAAGAGTGTTGTGACATGATTCTAGCAGTTCGAGTTGGCTGTGTGAAACAGCTGCTTTCAGAGAAAATTCTATATATTATTTTACTACTCAGAGGGTAAATGATATATTGTCAAAGCAGAAAAACTGGTGCCTAAAATCTATCTCTTTCTCTTCTCCTCCCCACTATAATCAAGTTATTATATCATTTGAACCAAAGCTTTCTTTCCCATCACCACTGTGCTCCCTTCAGGGTATCTGACTACGCCTGTAAATCCCCTCCCTGACTTATGACTTAACTCATTTGGGTTTTCAGAAAACACTGTTGATCACGCTTTGGGATCACTGATTTTGCTCTTCAAACCACTCAAAGTACATGTCATTTGTTCCTACATCTATATATATACAATTCTCAATGGCAGGCTCTTGTTAAAATGTGACTATGTCATAGCTTTATACAGTTCAGGCTCTTGTTACCTTAGAGATTGCTTCTCTCCACATGACAAATGAGATCACCCAAAACATGCTTGCTCTTAAGATTTGAGTTACAAGAGACAAGCATTTTCCATAGAGAGCCATTAAGTTTGGAATTCCCTTTCCCCTGGTCTGACATAGCCCAGGGGTGTTGGCCTTCTGGGTTGGTAAAAACCACATCAAGTGAGGTTAGCTTTCCTTGATTAGTGATAATCCTATTGGGCAGGAAGAAACTACTAATTTGGCTCTAAATTATAAGTAGTTTCTGATTTTGTCTTTTTTTATATTCATGTCCCTTAAGACGTGTTTATTTTAATCTTTAAAAAAAAATTAAGATAGTAATTTACAAATTTTTTGTTTCTGTGTTCTTACATCATGTCACAAATAGTGTGAGGCAGAAGAATTCTGTAAGGAAGTATTTCTTTTTACCTTGCATAAACTATTTTGTAGTAATTGATCAACTACATAGGCAGGCTGGTCTTCTAAGCACTCACAGTGATTCTATGGTCACCAGAGACTAATAAGCTATGTCCCTAGAATTGCTAACACTTTTTTAGAAAATGCTGTTGACAAGAGCAAAAATTAACCTTTGTTGATATGCCCTTTCAGTCTTGGAAAACTTTGTCATTATTTCCCCTTTGGAAATCTGTGCTATTATTTGTCGTATCATACAAACTATATGTTTCTTAACGTGATTTGTCCAATGAACTCCATTCACTTCCACTAACTTGATTCTGCCTCTTCAAAGCATTTGCCAATTTTCACCCGAACTTTCTAACTTTGGGCATTTTGATAAGGTGCATTGTAATTATACTTAAGGTAGCCTAGTTTGTGTCCATTGCATCTCTCCCAAATAGCCTAGAAGCTTCTTCAAGACAGAGACCATGTTTTCTGTTTCTCTTCTAAGCCAAAATGGTGCTTGGGACAGTACTTTGTAGATAGCAGGTGCCTAGTAGGAAATATTCATGTTATGTAGTGCAGAATTTTAAACTGCTTTTTCATAATTATCTTTTCTTCCTTTCTCCCTTGGTATGCTTGTAGGGCTTTTTGGGAAATGGGAAAATAACAAACGAGTGTTATCCCAATACTTCATTTCCCAGATTTCTTTTTATGCATGTTGAAGATTGAACATTATTTGGAAGATATGCATATAAAATTCAAGTTCTTTGTTAGTAGTTTTAAATATACTATTCAAGTAATAACTAGCATTAAGTTCCAGGGTTAAAAATATTGCTAATTATTTATAAATGTAGAAGAGCAGATTTTCCTCATTTAATAATAACTGTAAAGAAACCAATCATTATAAAAATTTAAACATTAAGTTGAGAAAATGATTAAATGCACCAATAGCTCAACTTAGTGACCAGCTTAGCTTCTTTGGCAGCAGGCTAGTACCAGGAGTTGGTCAGAAGTAGGCAGAGAATATATCTATGTTCTATACAACCTAGGTTCCACATAAAATGGGAGAAATATGTTGCTTTTTTGTGCTGGACCCAATAATTGGTTGCCTCATTATGTTTGCTTATATTGATAAAGTTATCCCAAATATTAAATGGTCTGTGTTGTTCTGCAGTTTGTTTCGGTGTTGGAAGGGGTGCTGTCTAAGCTGTCAAGGTATGATGAAGGCACTTTCTTCTCATCCATTCTGTCATTCACTGTAAGTATTTGGAGAAATTCACTTCAGCATTTTAACTATCCTAATATTTGTTATCCCTGATTTTTTAATTGTCTGTTTCTTTCTTATACAAGGTGAAAGCAGCTGCAAAATATGTTGATGTTCCAGTGAGTAGTACTCCTTTCCTTTCATTTAACTCTTTTTTGAACTTTTTATTGTGATTTTGCTTTCATAGAAGGCTCTGTAGGATTAGATCAAAGATACCTGTTTCTATTTTGTAGAATTTTAAATCTTGAAAATAGCGTGGGTTCTATGTTGTCTCCTCCTTTCAACCGGAGCTCCTTGAGGGCAAGGACTGTCTTTTGCCTTTTTTTGTATCCCCATGTCTTAATATAGTACCTGACACATAGTAAGTGTTTAATGAATGTTGATTGATGGCAAGCCACTTAACTTCTCAGTGCCAAAAAAAAAAAATGTCTAAGATGACTAGCTGCAAAACATTTGCAGATCTGCATAGGAAGAGGGAGTTTCCTCATGATGGGTTTCCAAAACTATTAAATCATAGGTCTGGACCAGAAAGAAAAGAAAAAAAAAACTAAGTGTCTTGTATACTTCCCTAGAAAACATTGAATTTAGAATCCAAAAGATACGGATTTGAGTCTCAGTTTCAACTCTTACTAGCTGTGTGACCTTGGATAAATCAGGAAACCTCCCTGAACCCATGAATAGAAAGACTACTTATTCAGCTTGCCTTACAGTGTGATTGTGAAGCTCGAAGGAGATTATGTATGTCAAAGAAAATATTGGTATCCCTAAAGTGAAAAGGTTTGGACGTGTCATTTCCCTGTTCAATAAGCACCAGAGTATTTCCCTCTCATCACTAAGGTAAAATGAGAACTCTTCATTGGGCAAATAAAGTCCTTCACTGTCACACTCTAGTCTTCCTTTCCAGGCTAGTTCCACATTATTCCATATCACATACTTTGTATCTTAGCCAGATTGTCTTGCTTACTCTTCCATATCCAAGACATTCCATCCCCTAACTCCGTGTCTTTGCATACATTATTCCGCTGTGCCTGAAATGGACTCCCTGCTCGACTCTACCTTGTAGAATCCCTAGCTTACTGCAAGGTTCAAGTCAAGTGTCACTCAATACAAGTCCTGTTCTGATTCCCCTTTCCTGTCAACACCACCAAGAGATCATTTTGCGTATATTTATACTTACTTATCTGTGTTCAGGTTGTTTCCCACTAATGGAATGTAGGCTTCTTGTGGTTAGGGAGTTGTGTATGTGTCTTCAGGACACAGTCTTGAATACAGGGGGTATTTGGTGCTTAATAAAGGTATCAGGTGCTTAATAAATGCCTGTTGAACAGATGAAAGCATTTTGTAACTACAAAACCCTATATAAATGCAAGTGATTATTATTCTTTGTATTCCCCCCTCAGAAGTTTTATGAACATGACTTCCACATGGTAGGGGTTCAGTAAGTACTTGATAGAGAAGTAAGAGTGGATGGATGGATAGATATGTGTATGAATATCCTATGTAATAAACTTCTAGGTATGAAAATACCAACTTGGGTGGGGATTGGGGCTTGGAAGATGATAAGAGATTGGAAGAGAAATTCGCTAGTGAAAGGCACAAGGCTCAGAAGTTATTTATTAGAGGAAAAAAAAAGAAAACAACTCAGAAATTATAATGATAAATACTGATACTGTTAAGTAACAAAAAAGTCAAAAGTGTAAAAATTATTCAAATCCAAAACTGTTCTTGGGAGGAAAAACAAATGGGGACGATTGCTCCAGGAAACCTTTAAGATTTTCAGAAGTGCCTTATAGGTACAACATAGTAGAAGACATATAAATTAATTATGACAGAACATAGCACAAATGCATTTGTTCGCTTATAATTTGCTATATGTGTTGATGGACAAACTATCCTTGTATTACCTATTTGACTTGTGTAAGGCTAACTGTACTTCCTTTGACAATCTGAAGTTAACAGGACAAAGTCATACCAGGATATTCCTGGCAAACCTGAATTCTAGCATTTTATGTCTCATCTTGATTTTAGCAAAGCAGTTGACAGATTCTCCTCTAATAGGCCTGTGGATAAGATAATAAAGATACAAGGTAGATGAAAATACTATCATGTGTGTCAGCTGGTTATACCACCTTCTTCAAAGGCTTTGATTAATGACTTGGTGACAACCAGGAGAACAGTCTCTAGTGGAGCAACACAATTATCCATCAGGGAGGTCTTATCCTAATCAAGGGTGTTATTTTTTTCAATGACTTAGATGAAAACATAGTAGATCTACTGATCAAATCTGTAGATGATAACAAATATGGAAGAGATACTGTGTATGACAGATGGTAAAATCAAAATTCAGCTTTATCTCAAATAAGAACACTAACTAAACCAAGAAGATTACATTTATTAGGGATAAATGTGAAATCCTGCCTTAAGTGCAACAGCATAAGAATTTCATAGAGTCAAGATTGGGGAAAAAACTAATGTGGAAAAAAAGACGTAAAGATTTTGTATAAAAAATGATATCAAGGTTTTGGTTGAACTCAAACTCCACACGAGCCAGTAAAATCAGGTGGCTTCTAGGAATGCTAACACAATCTTAGACTACACTAAAAAGTCACTAGTTCAAATTACAAATGTTCAGTGGTACTATGTGCTGGTCAGACCATATCTAGAGTGTTGAAGTTCATTCTGGCTACCACATTTTAAGAGAGGCACTAAAATTAGATTGTATTAAAAATATTCATGATAAACATGCTAGTCATCTTCAAATGTTTAAATTGCTGACATGTAGAAGGAGCAGAACTTCTCTAAAATAAAGAACTAGGAGAAAGGAGTGGGAGTTATGAAAATATATATTCTGGTTCATGTAAGAGAGAATGTTTCAATAGCTAGAATCATTGATCTCTCATAAGAGAAACCATTCTAACAATTAGTTTTCCAGCCATAGAAGATATTGCTGCCTGAGATAGTGAGCTCTCTGTTTATTGAAGGTATTCAAGAAGAGTCTAAAACAGGCTGCTACAGAAGAGACCACTTGCATTAGGTATGAGCTTGGACTACAGGACCATTCAATTCAACAAATATTGGTTGATTTCTAATGAATCCAAAGCACTGTGCTATGACAGGTGATGGGATACAAAGATGGTAAATCACAGAGGCCAGGCCCTGAAGGAGCTGTACAAGATAGGAAGGGAGAGAATACACATACAAGTAAGGATAATGCTATTTAGAACATGAGGAGCACTTTGTAAGCCTTGCAAACACCATAAATGCAAGCTGTTTTTATTGAATGCATTAGCAGAGGTCAAGTAAAGAGGCAGGAAAGATTCAGGCAGAAAAAAATCCACTTCAGAGTGGTAGTTTCAGGGAAAGCTTCATGGAAAAGAGGGCTCCTGAGTTGGGCCTTGAAGAGAGGCAGGGACTTTTTTATTATTGGTAGTAGTAATAATAATAATAATAATAATAATAGCAATAAATAATAATAGCTAGCATTTGTGCTAGAATATATTGCCTTAAAGTTCACTTTAAAGTCTTCACATGGGGCAGCTAGATGGCAAAGTGGATAAGAGCACTGACCCTGAAGTCAGGAGGACCTGAGTTTAAAGCCAGCCTCAGACCAAACACTTAACACTTACTAGCTATGTGACCCTGGACAAGTCACTCAACCCCAATTGCCTAAAAAAGTAAAAAAAAAATTTTTTTTAAAGTCTTCACATATGTTCTCTCATTTATCCTCTCAATAACTCTGTGAAGTTGGTACTGTTATTATCCCCATAATACAGATGGGAAATGGAGGCTGAGAGATAACCACCGGTTACAGGTAATTTCAACAGGCGGTAGGGAAAGAGTTTGAAGTGGAGTAGAGCCAGAGTGGGAAGGATGAGATTGTGGAAGAATTACAAGTTCTATTTGTCTGGAAGATGTAATACATAAAGAAAAATAATATGAAATAAAACTAAACGTGAGAAGGAACCAGATTGTGGAGGACTTTGAGGGTGAGGCTAAGTCCCTGTATTTCATTTCATAGGCAATGGGAAGCTTTCAAAAGTTAACAAGCAGGTAAGTGACACAACATGGTTTCTGCAAGCAAGGGTATTACTTTGGCAATTATGTGATAGCCTGGAAGAGCGAGAGACAAATAGACTATCTTTGAATAGTCTAAGCGAGAGGTTGGGAAGACTTGAACTATCATGGTGTCGTTGGGAATGGAAAGAAAAGGGTAGATGAAAGATATTCCAGAGGTGATATTCCAGAGGTAGAACTGATAAAGTAGAACTGATTGAATGTCGAGATGTGGAAAGGGGAAGTTTTTTGAATGACTCCCAAGGTTCTAAACCTGGGAAGCTGAGAGGTTGGTGGTAGCACAGGCAAAAATATAGAAGTTAAGGAAAGAGTTTGGGAAGGATGAAGATGAGATAATTTTTTAGAGATATTAAGCTCTTCTAGTCAGGAGGATATCCAAGGAGTGATGTCCAGCAAACTGGAAATGTAGGATTGGAGCAGAGGGGCTAGATCTGGAAGTTTGAGAATTTGATATTTGAAGCCACAGGAATGTAAGAGTTTACCAAGAGAACTCAAACATGCCTAGAAGGTATGTAATAGGTGTTCCAGTTCCCAGCATGGCTTCTCACTTCCCCAGAAGAGAATGAGAAGACCAATGGTAAGCATCCTACCGGGTGTGGCAGCACACCCGCTAGGCAGCCTTATGCAAAAGAATGAATGTAGATTTAGAAGAGAGCCAAGGACAGTCTTTGGGGATGTACCTACATTTACGGGGTGGAAAGAAGAGGAGCCGGCAAAGAACACCAAGGAGTGGTCAAAGGCAGAAAGAGACCTGTAAGAGTTTTAGCATGACTCAAGCCAAGAGAGGAGAGACTAGCAAGAAATCTTATAGTTCCAAGTGCTTTTGAGGATGAGGACTGAGAAAGGTCCTTACATTTAGTAATTGGATCATTGGTGGACTTGGAGAGAATAATTTCATTAGAGGGGTTGGAATGGAAGCCAGATTTCAGAATGTTGAGAGTTAGTGAGCAGCAATTAAATAGAGTTGGCACAAAGGAAAAATTATTCTTCCTTAGAATGTACCAGGTAAAATAAGGACTGAGAAGTCTTAAGGCATTGTATGGCC